ATTTACGAAATCTTCAGTTTTTTGGACATAAAACATACTACAGAGGTCATCTGAAGTTCTAAAATATTTTCTGAGCTACTATATACCTACTTTACATAACTAGCTAAGTAGTTAAGCAAAAATAAATGTTTTGTAGTTGAGGCCCGATAATCAGGTTTTAACTTATACAGGCTCAAATATAGATAAATACAAACAGCATTCTATGCTATTACCTTACTTGGCAAAAGAAAACTTCTTATAATAGGTCTCTTAACCAGCATTACAGTTTCGGTCACATCAATAGCTGTCACAGTTTTTGTGAGAAAGTTGATCCTGGCACTAGCCTTCCGGAACCATATGAGGAGAGAAGCTGGGGTGGGGGAGGGGAGGTATTTATAGAGAGACAGGGAGGATGCCAAGACTTTGCCTAAGAGTATTTGGCCGACGGGAGGGGGGGTGGGGTTTGTGCACAGGGTTTGAGCAGATTGGAGGCTGACCGATAATACATGGGCAAATGTCTATCAAGTGCGTGGCACTCTTGTGGAAGAGTGTGATATCCTGGTAAACAAGAACGGAGAAAGACGTGATCTCGGTTATTACGGCCCTTGGGAGGATCTTGGTAGTTGGAAACCGTCACACAATGGTACTAAGCCGTCGGGGGTTGATGTGTATGCCTCCCTCTCAAGCCCGGGCCCCCTAACCATATGAGAAGTTGAGGATCGGGAATAAGGGGAATTGGGTAGAGGAAGTCAATTGCCATGGATATTTTATAAACATCCAGCCCTCGATTAATTACTGCGAGCTAAGGGGCCGGTGGAAAGCTTGTGCCCGCAGCAGAGTTTGGAGATGTGTTTTTATATATTTAACGTTTGGAACGTATCCTCCACACAGGTTCACAATACGGATCCCCTTATAGCTAGTTTAGCGAGTGATACAAGGTGACTGGAACAAAACCAATTCGAGCTTCAATTCCCGAGCCTGCTTCGGTAGACTCGACCCCATTTGCTGTCGGGCAGAGCCAGCTCGAGTCAGTGCTGAGTCGTTCGAGTTGCCTCCTCTGGTAAAATCGAGCACTTTTTATCCCCTACAGAGGAGGTGAAAAGCAGATATTTTGCTGAGTTTTTCGCGCATTTTCTAGGGGTGGAAATTTTGGGCCACCTGATATATGGCTCGAATTGTTCGAGATTCTACGGTAGTTCTCTTGGGGTTCGCTCTCACGCCGTTGCTTTGACAAGAGCTTCCCGGCCATATAATTTTTAATTTGTTTCGGAGAGCTTTAATTATTTTTCTTTTTACAGCATTCCTGGCTAATGCACTAGGGGAGGACAGTAATTATTATTGGGTATAGAAAACTAGTGCCATGATAGCTTCCTGTATTCCTCCTGTATTCTAGATGAGGTTCACTAAGGCTCGTCGCTTAGGGACTGTTTGGCATGCTAGGATTTGGACTTTAAATCCGGATTATCTCCTGGGACCGGACATTGAGCCTAATCGTGTTTGGTAGGCTAGGACTTGGACTAGATTTTCATTCAAAGATTAGATTAGAATTTTAAATCAGGATTTTCTCTAAAAAAATTAGTCGCAAAGAGCGAAGTTCAAAAGGCATTAGCCCTAACTACTTTCTCAGCTTGTAAGCACGAACAAAACACAGGCCTAGATCCCACCAATATTATTTACATCAGATACACAAGTTCTCCATAGTCCTAACCTAAACCCTGTCGTGTTTGGTATGGCTAGTTTACAGAGTCCGGACTTTGGAGTTTCTAGACTTTGGTTTTCAAGTCGGGACTTTAAGTCCAAATCATAGTGTAATCCTGGCGTGCTCAACAGGTCCTTAATCATTTTTTGCTTATCCGGCCACTATCGCGGCGCAATTCTCTGATGTTAAACCAGCAGCCCTATCGATTCCCGTCGGCCAAAATTCACAAAGTCTTGGCTACCCCGTCTCCGCTATAAATACCTCCTTCCCCCATTCCTTCTTCTCTCCTCATACTTACCTAGTGGTGGAGTCCTCCGCTCATCAACGGTGGATTCTCGCTGTGTTCTGATTTCGTTGCACGCCGAAGGCAGGCGCTGCGCCAGCTGTCTCCGGACATCTGGGCTGCTCAATTTTTGATTTACCCCCTGTGGCCTTTCTTCTCTGTTCTCTTTTTCGTCATCCTCCTGGCTGTTGCGCGAGGGGATGAAGGGGATTTCGATTGTTTCGGTACTAATGCTACCGTTCCTTTTGAAAAAAGTGCGATTCCGTGAAGTGCAGAAGGTTGCCGGTAATATGTTCACAGTGGGGCCTGTTCCTTTCTATTTTCCCCAACCCTCCCTCTCTATCGCAGCTGAGGTGCGAGGAGGCGGCAGAAAACTCAAGAGGGCCCTTAAACAGCAGTATAAAATCAATCATAGTTAATTTAGTATCCCGGACAGCATGGCGATTGTTTCCTCGGAACTTTCTTCACAAAACAAAACAAGTATTTTCTCCCCTTAAAAAAGCCCCTCACTGTAAACTCCATTTATGGGTGGATGTTCAGATCCTCCCCGGGCAACGGAATGACGAGCTTTTACAAGCAGCTGGCGTATTCAAAAAATCCTCTTACTCCACACTACTGTTACAAACATCACCAACCAAAAGGAGCGCTTTCTCCACGGGATGCACAATCCCCCATGGTTTGTATGCTTAGATGCATATTATCGACTTTCCAGATAGATTCTACCCCAAAAATCACTTCTATAAGTATCTAGACTTTCTACCCAAATTTCACCCCCTCTCTCATTTTTATTACCTCCGTGTTTCCCACTTCTCCCAACGTGGAAGATCATGCAGTAGTACTGATTTTTGAGAAAGACCTAGAAGGGTCCCGGGCCTTATTTGTCTGTTCTGGCGGGCTCTTGTTCTTTTATTTCTTTGTAACGGCCTTCCGGGATGCTGCCGCGGGGGTAAAGTATTCAACACCCTTCTGTACTCTAAACGAAGTTCCCTAAAGTCCGACTACTGAGCCCGTGTTGCGATACATTGCCCTTCATTGAACTCCTCCCCTAAGGTCGGACCCTCAACCCTATCAATGCCTGTCGGCCAAAGTCATCACGCCTTGGCATCCCAAACTTGCCTCTATAAATACCTCCCCTCTCCATTACTTCTCCCTTCTTCATACTTACCTAGTAGGAGAGCCCTCCGCTCATCAATCGTAGGCTCTCGCGGTGTCCCACCTTTATTGCACGACAAAGGTAGGCACTACCCCAGCTGTCTCCGGACACCTGGGCTGCTCAATTTTTGATTTACTCTCGATATTCGATTTCCTTTTTTTCTTTCCACGCCTTCTAGTTGTCATTACTTTCCTGGGCGCAGAGCGGGGGGGTAAAGACTATATCGTGAGAACAAAACCTCCTTGAGCTCTATGATAGTCTGTTTTTTGGGCTACTGTATCATACCCGGCGGGTGAGCGCACGGCCGGTGATGCCCTGCGTATTACCTCAACCCCATGTCGGCTCCCAAAGGAACAGACAAAGGATTAAGAGGTGGGGGGGATAGGTGATGAGGGAATGACGGAATAAACTATCCTTTGAGAAAAACATATACACTTGATATCTCCCCCGGGAGCTGGTTTTTTTCCGGAGGCCAAATGAACCATGGACGCTCCAGAAATGGCCTGTAAATAGGGACTACAGTGCTTGAACTAGATAGTCGAACGTAGTGAAAACTCACGCGTATCATTCGTGACCCTAGAGTACAAAACAGAGTCAAAGTGGCTAGGTCCGGAGCTATACACTTCTGGAACGGGAATCATATTTTAGAATCCATTGCTAGATGAATTTGATACGGAGGACTATCCATATGCGAATTTCAATAGGTATCATTGTTGAAAGGATGACTTCAATGTGACGGAACATTGCCCGACAAGGCATACTGGGGACACATATCATCGGCACTGTATATAGATACCTCACACAGGCATAAGTACCACTGTGTGGCACCTAAGTAACAATGAACAAGAGACAACAGTTAAAAATCCTGGTTCTATCCCTCACCTCACATACGACATTTCCAACAATCATGTGGAGTCAATAGTCGAGTGATTAGACATGACCGGAGTAGTACCGGCGCCATCACAATTTAATTAAAGCCGCGTATCCCTAGACCCAAGCGATCTCACCACCAGCAAAGCGTGCTTTGGATAGCCTCTATATTTGACAGCCTACACTCCCTCGCCAAAAGTCCCCGTGAAACTCCATTTCAGAAGACCCTCCCAGAGCGGGTGAATGTTTCCACAAATTAATTTATTTCTCCCTCGAAAGCAAAAAAGAATAATTTCAAATTTCAAATTCCTTAAATAAACGGCATCAAAGCCTCTGGGAGAATTCTAGAGATCGAAGGACCATTCGGAGGTTCAATGCTCTGGAAGTAAGTTCCCCACCAAGGTCCAGCGGCCCACCAGAGAGCACCTACAATTAATAAAGACACATCAGTCAGCAATCATACTATATCACCTAGGGAACAGATAAAGTCGTACCAAGCCAGACACCGTCGGCCTGCTGCATGTGACAGAGAGCGCCATGGACCGCTGCGATACAAGCGTCATTACTTCCAGCGCCGATTTCACCAAGGAATCCTTTCTTTCCGTTCTGCTTGAGCCAGTTGGTAGCGGCGGTAAGTCTCTCTTCACCAACGGTGGAGGATACGCAGGACTCGGAGGTTCCGGAAGCGTCGGCGTCAAGATATTGATGCATCTCTGTCATTGCTTAGCCGTGTTTTTGAACATTCTGGGAAATTGGAAGGCTTACCGAATGCAATATTGTTGTTGGGGTCCTTCAGTTCCATCATGCTTGGGGCGTTGCCGCTGGAGACCCAGGTCCAGGCGCCGGTCCATGAGTTACCCTCCACCAAGATCAATTGAGAAGTGGCACCTGCAGCGCGGATTCCGTTGATACAGGCTTGGTTGAGATCGAAGACGAGGGTCTGGTCCATGTTATGGAATTCGTTGTTGGTATCTACCAAAGTTAGAGCGGGAAATATTGAATCGGAAAGATTGAGTAGTACCGAAAATAATATTGGGGTCGGACTTGAACTCTCTGGCGATGTTCTTGCACCATGTGCCGAAGGCAGCGGTATCGGTGATAATTTTGTCGTTGTAGCGGCCGTAGTTGTGTGGGTCAATGACAGCATATCCTCCTTTTCCGGTGACGTAGGTAGCAATCTATAAGCTTGTAAGATGTCGGTTTCTTCATTTAGTGCCACGGCGACACACCTTCTTCAGCCCTGCAAGATATGTAGCGTCCATAGTTCCAGCTAGACCTTGGGCGGGTGGAACCATCCTCTCCATCAGGAACGGAATACGGAAGGTATTCATTCCGATGTCAAGGAAGTACTAAGGGCAAATCAGCATCGTAGATTTCACGGAGACATGTCACGGAAGACAGACATCTATGCTAGTTGTTGTAGGCCAGGTGTAGTGAGTTCCCAATTCGCCGGGAACGGTACCACCTGCAAACTCAGCGCCAGCCTGGTTTACTGTCGGTTCTAGTTAGTTCACCAACCTCGAATAATTAAGGGGCGTAATCACCTCCAAAGTACTTGAATTTGGTTGCTCCCGAGCAAGTAACACCAGATGGTTCTAGGGTGGGGTGGGGGTAATCTAGAGGCTCCTTTGTATTAGCAATGCAAAACCTTGGGTAGAAGTAGATTTCCGTACGATCGCTCGCCCCAGTAGTAGGATATCCCATAGCGGAAGTCGTAGTGCTGGGGTAATCGCTCCCCCTAGTAGAAGAATACCCCGCAGTGGGAGTTGGAGAACTTGTGTAGCCAATAAGGCCACCTAATATTCCATTAGCGCTACAATATCAAATATCAATCCCACAAAAGCATCAAACATACATTGACCCAAAGCTGCAGCCTGTGCAGAAACAAGTACAAGTAGTGAAGCCACCGCAGCAGCAATAGCAATAGAAATCCTCATGATCGATGGATCACGAAATAGAAAGAAAGGCTGAGCAGCAATTTCAATGTGGAGCTGGTGATCCTCTCTGAGTGGGGGAATCAAGCCATTTTATATCGTATCCCCTTTCCCCCTTCCTCGAAAATAACCCCCCTTCCCCTCCGACTCCTGAAGTTATATTAATCCATCGCTAATATGCTCGCGGGGTCGCAATAGAAGATCCCAGGCAGGAGGAAATCTTGGAAGCAATTTAACGTCAGCAGAATTTCCCTGGGGAAAACAACCCTAAATATCCCCTGTACTTAAGTAAAGCTGTTAGTGGGAGAAGGTCCTGGGATGTGGTGATCGTATTCGATACGAGTTGTTGGAGTAATGACAAAACCAGAGGACTGGGGAGGAGGATATCCCCGCTAGAAAAGCTGGAGAGTTAGAATGTGAAAGATAGTATAGAAATGATACAGGTGCACGTCAAGTTGATCCTTCTGGCAGAGCTAAAAAGGAATATGACCTTTGGGGTTGGTTGTGGACAGGTATGTAGCATACTCCAACGGTGGTTTCCCCTCATTTGAAAATGCCATGGAGTCCCGCAACGATTTTTGGGAACCGTTTTGTTTGTCTCAGGCTAGCCTGACGAAGTAGCCCGTTGATGACTAGTGTTTAGAGGCCGAAGACCCCGTGAAACCAGGTAATTTTATCCAAGGAGGATTAATTGACTCAAGCTCGGGTCTAAGTCAATCAGTATTAGCTGCTTGCACGAGTGCCTGTAGCTTGAATAAAGTTATAGTTTCCGACGAAGACTTGTTTAAGCATGATGACTTGGATTTGAGAATAAACCAACCTACCACTTTCCCTATCCACCATGTGAGCTGAGCGCTCTCTTCTACTTGTATGTTTATAAAGGAGATTGTCAATGAGTGATAAGACTATAGCTGCATACTATGGCACCGCGTGGCGCTATCGCCTACCGGCTTGACCTCCGACTACACCCCTCGACTCGAGTAAAAGTACATCAATAGCCAACTCAGCGGGGCACAGTCGTTACAAGCTAGTGAGGCGACAGGATGGGGGCGAATTTTCTGGTTGCAAAGCAGACAGCACATAAATGATTCCCCTCTTGCCTAGTCATTACTATTCTGTCGTGACCGAGAGGCTCTATCTTATAATCTGGGGACAGCAGCAATCCCAGCAAGCACAGAGCACACAGTACCACTCTGCCCCCCTCCCCTCCCACCGCCGAGACGCGATAACATGCTTGTGCGGGGCATATCCTCCATTAATCAGCAAGTAATATACTTGGACCCTCACAGTTGGATTTTACCAATTGCCAGCGCCCATATCCCCTTCGAAATGAAACTTTCCAAACTTAAGGTTTGAGAAAGCTTCACTAGCACCATACCGGTACTTTCAGTGTACGGCTGTACGGGAGTTGTTTCACCATCAGCCGGTAAACGGTATCTCGGTACCATGGCCGGAGGAATACCGGTACAGTAATCTATTTGAGCACGGTATTTCTTCCCCTGTAGTCAGGCCCTCGCCCTCGAGCTGAATAAAGAGATTATATCACCACCTGAGGAAAAGATGGTTTAACTCCCCGGAGCCATAAATTCCATTGGCCAGGTCACCCATTGAGTGACCGAAGCTATACCATTTTGAGCCTAGTTTTGAAGATACGCACTAGAAGTTCGTGAATTCCAGAACGAAAGGAGGGATTAATCAATAGATCTTCGGAAAAGAGAGGGTTACAATCATATCACGACCTACCGGGGGAGTTTTTTTTCAGGATGGGATCTCTGAAGGATATTGTAATAAGGAAACTATTTCGGTGATGTCATGGCATTGGGTGGGATTTTTTTGTCCGTGACATAACGGTTACACGAACGGGAGTTCATCTCGTATTGTCCGTTGGCGGGCAGAGGTACCCAAGTAGTGTACACTACTGTACTCCAGTACGGTACCTGTATGGTGGAAACCCAATTGCCTGTTTAAGTTATTACATCATATTATCATACTAGTAGATTTGATGTCTGGATAGTGACCTACCGGCAGCTTTCTGGCGTTCCCGAACACCCCTACTGTTGCATACTACCAAAATCTTGCTGCTCCAGCCGGTCTCTTGCCCATATACGATGGCGGCTATATTCACACATGTCAGAAATTATGAGTGTAGTACTGGCACAGAGGGGGAAAGAGAATTATCACTCTTGGGCCAACCTACGTCATTATTCGCTTGTACTCAATGCTCGTCAGAAAAAACTTCGCCGTAGCACAGATGCTGGCGGGAATGTCTTTATAAAATCTGGGGAACAAACCGCTGTTTATAAAGTTCTAAATTGTTAGATTAAGTAAATTTATACTAGTAGCTCAACACTGCGTTTACGTGAGCTTCTCTATGCCCTGCTCGGCCCTCGAGAGAAGAGCACTTAGATGAGTACGGCTCCAGCCCCGTATTAGTATTGAGGCTCTCTAGGCTTAGTAAAATCGCGAAGAACCAGGTCCAGTTATTACTAGGATACTGCCTATCTAAGAGTCCTGCCCGCATTAGGCGCAATAAAAGAATAGCCTATGCTATCTACTCACGATGTGTAGATGGAGCTATTAATGAGGTTGGAAGGTACACTTGCAGGGGTATAGATTCACACTCTCAGGAAGACATAAAGCTTTCTCAGTCCCCACAATTCCCTTGATAGTATACCTCTAGCACCCACTCCTGTACAACCCTTGATATTTTTAGTAGAGTCAGGAATCTAGCCAATGACTTGGAAATATAGACAATGACCCTATTTCCTGCATTACCTGTGGTAACTATCTCGAGCGGAGAGGGGGAACCTACAAGAGTATCCCCCGAGCGTTGAGACCGTATCACCTCTTGGAATTCCCTCCCCAAGCCTTCTTATTCATCCCCCCTGTTGAATTGATGGGATCAATAATCGCCAAGCCAAGCCCAAATTTCAGGACACTGTACTTTTAGAATTACAGGTGAAAGATGATTGATCCAGGGATAGGGGGCCATGTCCACGCAATATGCTGAAGATACACCGATGGAGCACATATAGATTCGGCCCAAGGTTAAAACTCACCAACGAAATCCCTCACCCTACCTATGATAGCTCTCCTAATAAAGTTGTCCGATAGTTAAAATTCTAGGGCAACACGCGGTGCCGTCGGAATTGCCGATTTCTTAGTGCATCTGTAGCATCCTTAAGATCGGACAACTTGTTTCATCCAGCAGCTGTAATAGGAATAAAATAAGGTAGAGATAAGCTAAATGCAATACTGACCCCGGGAACCATAAGGGTACAAGTACGGTTTTCCCGGTTATAGGTGCTCTGCGGGTGGTAAGCGATCTTTCACCTAGACTATCAAATATTGATCACTAGGGCACAGCGGACATTGCCCGGTTTTCCGCAAGGGATTATCCACCATAATTATAAAGCGGAACTTAAATTTTTAATGCCAACTTAATAAATCTCACAGATTCACAGGGTAATCCTAAGCCACTTGGGGGGGAAAAAAAAAGCTTGGATGGAATGAAAAACACATGGTGCCCACCAAAATAAGGATAGGGGGATAGAATGCCCATATGGACAGGATGACAGCAATTGCAGTTTTTGGAAGCTTGGCGTCCTGGCATACGCCCCGGGGGGTACCTGTTGTCTGTCGGAAGGTTTATTTGCAAGGTTATGACTACATTTCACAGCAGGAATATACCACTTTACCCCAACCCACCACATTTGCAACCCCCCGGCCCCACCGGATCGGCCGATGTGGTTCGAAATATTCGCGAAACAAATTGGGTATAGTTTAATTGCCATCAGGCCAAATTATTCAACTGGTGCTCTGCCGGGTTATCCCTAATCAGCAAGGAGTTTTATCGTAAACACTTCTACAATAAGTTACTATAAGATATATTTTGCGGTATCTGAAGCCTAGAGTCCACACTATCCAAGCCGATGTATTCTATGGTTTTTTCTAAGTACTGTAGTGTGCGGAGGAAGAGGAGGTTGGAATGATGCGGACACATTTTTTTGTCCCGAGATATCTATCGGTACCTTTAGCCAAGGGAGTTACCCAACCTCACTTAGGATGTATTAACTCTCCCACCAATGTCCATCCTACCGAATAGGGCATTATGTCCTCCTATGTTTGTTTTACCTGCCATCTTATCAGTTTCTGCAGATAAATCACTGTTTAGGATATCACTTCCTCTCCACCTCGCCACCGGTATTTTCTCTGCTTCATTGGAGGTTTACCCGCAACCGCAAACTCACTTGTAATATAATTGCACAAGCGTCTTCACAGATCTGCGAGGGAATGGCGTAACAATTAACTTATCTCCATCCCCTGGTGCTCACCAAATACTCAAGTAGGATATAACTCCAGCGACACAGCACCTTCCGTTTACCTCCCAGTTCTGTTTACTTCATGCCTTGTACAACAGGATTTTGGGCAGGCATGTCCTTACGCTGTATGAGTTTCCACTTTATGTAATGGGCTGCCTGAATAGGCTCGTGGATTTGACTCAGTGTGCAAACTCTCACCAACAGTCGCGCAGACCTACTACAATCCCATTCTTGCCAGTCAATCACACCCGAGTCTCTCAAGTGCGATGGGATCGCCATCCATTGAGGTAATAGTCCCAAAACGATTTACCCCTTGCGAATAGAATCAACCAGCCACTCATACATCATCACTCGGTATTGCCACAAGATTTCTTGCAGGGCTTCCCCTATGACATTGGTATTTGATCCCCAGCGCTATAACGAACTGAAGTGGCTCAGTCACAGTGCACATAGGGCGCTCTAAGGATCTACCTTCCGAGTTGAAGATTCGCTGTCGATGAGATCCCTGTGCAGAGAAACAGAGCTAAAGACAAAATCACAAAAAACGCACCAAGGGTATCCCTATACTATACGCCCTATGCAGCCACACCCCACCATCCGGGATAGCCGAAATTTCCAAATCCCATCCGGTGCAGTGGTAGATACCGGATGGTCGAAGAAAAAAGTACATGACGGAACACT